TTTTTTTTGTGTCTGTTACCACTTTTTCTCAGCTCTCACCGAACGGATTTCTTTCAAGGATACGTCAAAAGATCACAAATCGTATCTAGTCGAAGACATTACCCTTCAAAATTGAAAAAATTTCCCTCGTTCCCCGTAAATGGGGGAAACCTCCAAAAAAATTACAAATTTAAAAATCGCTAATTTTCGAAATTTTTTCAATTTTTTTTACTAAAAACTGCCGTAACTTTTTCAAAAATGAACATATCAATATAATTTTTTTTTATATAGATGCTTGATGTCTTTACCTCTCATTTGGTATATTTTTTTTGTAAATCTGACACTTAACCTGCCCACAGGGGGGGATTTAAAATGACAACTTTTTCACAAAAAATTTACTTTTTCAACTTAACTTTTGAAAATGTTCCGGAAGGTCTGACACTTTTATATATATCTTAAATTAAAGCTAATGTAATATACTTTAATTTGAAAAAAAAAAATTTGACCTCTGGACTTGTCTTCACGGCGAAAATGGCTACCGAATGCTATTTTCGTGTGAAAATTCTCGATTTTATTATTTATATTATATTTAACTTTATAATGCTATAACTTATTGAAAAGTTTATGGATCCACACAATTTTTTTATGAGAAATAATATTTTTTAATAAACCCTTTTTCATTCGACATACTTTATCTTAATCGAGATATTAATAAGGAACCAGCAGATCAAGTAGCTTTTGGAATAAAACACCAATTTTTTTAAAATTAAACACTATCTAAAGATTTGCATCGAAGCGTTTATTTTTGATAGTGATTTTAATCACTGTCAGATATCATTTACTTGATCCAACTATGCCATGTCACCACTGTGCCGCGACCCCCCTGTGCTGGGTTTTTTTTTTAATTAACTATTTTTATAAACTAAAATGTATAATATTTTAGTATCCAATAATCCGATGAAAATTTATTAATGACTACTAGTTATTTTTATTCAGGTTTTTGCTCTCTTCAATAATTGGGCAAAATATAAATACGTGATATTGTCATTTATGTAAAATATCCTCTCATATATATATTTCTCTATTCGAAAAATTACCAGTTTTTTAACAAACTATTATGTTAACTAGATTTAATTTTGATATTCACATTTTC